ATTCTAGTTAACTAGCTATTGTGAATTATAGTATAATTCTAACAATCTCATTCCCAGGAATTACTCTAGAAAAATACAAACTTACATGCACACAAATACTTACATGTATTTGTGTACATGATTACTACACATAATCACCAAAACTCAAAAATAATTCATCTGACCTTCCATGTTGAACAACTAAACAAATTGTGATATATCTATACCATGGTCTATTCTATGCAGCAATACAAAGGAAACAAAATATTAATATAACAATTTTTATGTGAGTTCTCAAAAGCACTACGTTGTGTACAAAACCAAGATTCATAAGATGGCATCCATTTTATATATTAAAACAAAAAAATTATAATGGAATACGAATTAATGGCATCCAGATATTAAAGTAGGAAGATTCTGTGATTAAGCTAGTATAAAAGAATTTTCTGGGGTAAAGGAACCCTTCTGTACTTAGATTGAGGTGGTGGTTACATGAAAGTATACAAGTTAAAATCCATAGGAATTCAATACAACCCTCAGAATTTCCATTTAGCTTTATAATTTTTAAAGACACGTCATCTTTTTGGTTAGTACTAATTGCTGTACTCCTATCTTCTATATACATTTACTAGAATTCTACCTACCACTACAATAGGATTTATTATTAAAATAGATTAGAATGTAGACATTTTAGAAATTATAATATCCTTCCTATGATGGAATTTTTATTGCCCTTGGGGACCCTTTACTTTACTTACCAGGATGGGCCTGTATTGTATTAGACTCAAAATTTACTGTCTTGTTCATAACACAAGGTGCAACCAACCAGTGTTTACTAAACTGGCTCTGGCAATGTGGACGAAGTGACAAACACATGGTCATTAATAAAATCTCTACTAGATAGACTAAATCTAGCTCTAATTTCTAATGAAACAATTACATCTAGATAGGCTAAATCTTGCTCTAATTTCTAATGAAACAGTTACTAAATTGTTAAAGATTTGCTCAGGAACTAAAAGGCATAGAATTTAGAAAGGAAGCAGACAGCACACTGCCAGTGGTACAGAGGTTTTTAAAGCCTAAAATAGGCAGAATCTAAACAACAATTACTCCATGCTCCCTAATCATAAATTTCAATGGGCTAAGTAAAAGATATATAAAGAAAGAGGTATGTACTGACTTTCTAGATATGTGATGTCTTGTAGTAGGCAACTTATTTTAAGGGATCACATGTCTGCTCATATATGTAAATCTTTCAGAGGCCATCATCCTACTCTTAAAATAAAAAAGATTGCCAAGCTGAAGGAAAATCTGGCAGGGAAGTGAAGTTGCAGAACAAATTACCACTCTCATATCCAAAGAGACCAGGAACCTACAGAGATACAGGTTTGGGCACATAAGCCTGTAAGAATTTTGAATCAACAATTCTATGATTAGCCATAGTGTGAAACTCCTGTGTTCCACAGAGTAGTTTCTACCCCTTTAAAAAGCTTTTCCTACAGGAATCTCACCAGACTTTCATGGTGAAGACAAGGGAAAATCTAAGAGAAAGCTCCTGTAGTGGTACTTGGCTGGCTGACTGCAACAGTCCGCCGTGAAACTCACCCAGACCATGCTCTCTAATATTTAATACAGAGGAAAGGGATAAATCCTCAGGGAGGAGAACATTAGTTACCAAATGGGGTGTGGTAAGGGGTAGGAGCAAAGAGAAGGAAGCCCTACACAAGAAGAATGAACAGGTAACCTTGCTAGAAACACACTCAAGACCCAGGTTCACTAGAACCTGACCAATCAGATAATTAGAGAACACCTTCTCCTCAAACAGTCACACCTGACATACCATCTAACTAGTAACAGTGGGATACAATTAGAAAAACTATAAAAACCTACTTTTGGAAAGCATCACAATGACAACCCAAATCAAGTACTGTAAAAATGAAGTTATCATGGTGGTTAGAAAGATGGCTCAGCAGTTAAGAGCACTGGCTGCTCTTACAAAGGACCCAGGTTCAGTTCCCAGGAACCACATGGTGGTTCACAAACATGTTCAACTCCAGTTTGAGGGAAATCCAACCTCTACAAGCACCAAGCACATAAGATAGCACACACACTTTTAGGCAAAACACTCATCCACATAAAGTAAACACTAAAAATAATATCACTAGAGGAATAGGAACTCTCTGGTGTCCTTACCCTGCCTTCCACCTACACAACCCAGGCCAACAAAAAACACGGAACAGGCCAACTCCTCACTAAAGACCTAGAAAAAGAATCAGAGCTTTCCAACTACTAAAAATTTATCAGAATCTCTTGCCCATGTGTAGTTTTCAGGATGTTCAAAAGGTAAGAAAATACCCCAAGTTACAAAGGAGTCACTGGCTCCAAACATAGTAATACAGATGTTGGGACTATAAAAAACTGAAACATAAAATAATTATGATTTGTTAAAACGTCTAATGAATAAAGTAGATAATATGGAAGCCCAGATAGACAACTTCAGCAAAGAAATAGAACCTACGAGAAAAAGTATATTTACTAGAAATACTAAAGTTTAAACAACAACCCAGTGGGCTCAACAGTAGATTTGATGCAGCCAAGAAAATTATCAATGATCTCGAAGGTCATGTTTATTGATCAGGCCATTAAAAATTAAAACAAAAGAGGACAAAGGAGAAAAAAAGAACTAGCACACAAGGGCTGGAGTAATGACTCAGTGGTTCAAAGACCACAAAAATTAAACAAAAGGGTAAAAAGGAAGAAAAAAACCAGCATGAAGGGGTTGGAGTGATGGCTCAGTGGTTTAACCCATTTGCTGCTCTTGCAAAGGACAGAGAACCAACATGCTGGCTCACAACCATCTGTAATTCCAATTCCAGGGGACCTGACACCCTCTTCTGGACTTCACAGATACTGCAGACATGTGGTGCAGACATGCATGCAGGCAAAAATAAACATAAAAAAGAAAAACAGCATACAATATTCAAGAACTGTGAGCCACCAACAGTACAACAAACTTGGAATTGGAATCCTAGACAAACAAAAAAAGCAAAATACATAGACTTATTTTAAAAAATAATGGCTGAAAGCCAGGCGCAGTGGTGGCACACACCTTTAATCCCAGCACTGGGCGCAGGGGTAGAGGCAGGCTGATCTCTGTGAGTTCAAGGCCAGCATGGTCTACAGCGTGAGTTTCAGGACAGGCTCCAAATTTACAGAGAAACCCTGTCTCGAAAAATAAAAAAAAAATGGCTGAGAAATTACATACATAAAGCACAGAAAAATTGCTTTCTACACAAAAAGACATAATTATAAAACAAAACCAAAATTCTACAGCTAGTGTTATTATTGATGAGAGATGGGGACAAGTTAAGTGTTCCCTTTTCACTACAATTCTTTGGAGAAGAAAAATGTCAGAATACTAATATTACTTATTTCAATACTCACTACAAAACTATAGTACTCAAGAAAGTGTGTTAACATAGTGTATCATGGCTGGGGATGAGGCTCAGCAGTAGAGCACTTGCCCAGCATACTTTAGGTAATGATATCTGCCCTCAGCACTGCAAAAAAAGGTAGTATAATTAATGGAAAAATGGTTAAGACACACAGATTCGTGGAGCACAGCAGTTCAGGAACAGATGCACAGATGCAAAGGCAATTTAATAAATAAATGGTGTAATAAAATATCACATATGTGGGAAAATGAACTTCAACACATATTTCACTTTCATGGCTTACTGGAATACAAATTGGTAGAACCACTTTAGAGGACAGTTGGTCCACTTCTGTCAGAGAAAGATCAGCAATTTCATTTCCATGTATTTATCCAAAAGGAACTGAAAACTTATACTCACACAAAAGACCTATAAGCTAATATTTGCCACACCTGTTGTCCTCTAGTTTACACACATGCAATTCAAAACTAGAGGTATAGTTCAGTATGTATCTTGTACAAGGAAAGCCCCAGACAGACTCAATACCCAGCACCACAAGAAAAAGCCAGAAGTATACCAAGAAGCATTTCTAGGGGAAAAATTTTACCAGAGTCACCATATGCACCATATTTGTTTGTCTGTTTTTTTTAAAGGACACATGTTTGTTTGTTTTAAGACAAGGTCTCATATAGTCCAAGCTGTTCTTGAACTTGTTATGTAGACCAGGTTGGCCTTGATTTCTTGATCCTCATGCCTATTATGTTCCATTCCCTTAAGAGCTAGATATATATATTGGTACAAGAATAGATGTGATCAAGTCAAGTTGGGAAGGAAACCATGAGAGTTCCCATTACTATATATAAGGTCTCTTTTTAAAAACACATTTAATTTTTGAAATAGGAAAATAAACAATACATCTTGAAATTCAAAAAGTACACATTAGAGCTTATGCAATGAAAAGTCTCATTTTCAACCACTAGCCCAGGCCACCAAACTGTCAGTACTTAATAAGCCCTTCAGAAATTCTGTGTCTATGTAAGCAAATATATATATATATGTATTTTCTTGCCCTCAACTCATTATCTATTTTACATGAATGGCAACACCTCCTCTACTGTTTTTTGGTTTTTCTAATTCTATATACTATAGATTACAAAATATATAGTGTAATACTCTTGTAAAACTAAGCCCTGACTGATACTCAATATATCACCGATCTTCTGCTACTATAGGCAATATTCCAAGTAACTTCTAAGTATTTGTTGAATAAATTCTTGGGTAAAGTGCTAAGTCAAATGTTATGTTTATAAATATGGACAGCTCTTTTCAAGTTACTGAGTTAAATATCAGGAATTCTAAAATTTTGTCTTAGGAGGACATAAAATCTAAGATTATGTCATTGCACAATTTTCAGGAGAAATACATAACCCCTACAATACACAAAATGAGTATTTTACTCAGTTCCCCATGTTTCTAAAGACCATTATATTTCTATATAATGAATTTCATCCTGCAAGTTGTTGAAAAAAAATCTATGTTATGTAAAGAATGTTACCTTTGAGATCGTCTTCCAGAACAAAGGCCAAAGCCTGATGCTTCACACTGGTGGATCTTGACCACTCCACAATATGATACTGGATTCTTCACTGCAATCACAGGGATACTTCAAAATTTGAATAAATAAAACATAATTACAAAGAATCCTTTGCCCTTATTATAATGCCCAAATAAGCATTTCTTCTTTTAGGTAAAAATTATTTTGAAAAGGGCGAGGAGCTAATGGCAAAATTGCCAATGTTCCTCTCATTGCATGGTGGTGGATTCCCTAGTATTTCTTCATAACTACAAAACATAATACACAAGAATTTTGTGATAAAACTTGAATGGGTATTGAGGAAACCCAGGAGTTCCTTTGATAATAGTTGTTTAAGATGAGAGAGCGGTTGACCCATTTGTGTGCATATGTCCTTCCAAAACCACACTACCTCCCTCTAGCTTTTCACTCATTACCAATTATGTATAATTGCTGTAAAGGTTCCCAATTTGTTCACAGTTCCTTTTATCCACTTTTTGAATGGTCTCCCACAATGTATCTGGACTTGGTCACGAAAGCACTCTTGTGATTTACCAATGTAATAACAGCAAATGTGACAGGAGCAGACACTTGAAAAAAGTACTTGTGTACTGGCTGGTGCTTGCTTTTACTTGCTTCTCTCTTTTGAGACTTGGAGACTACTACACTAATAAGTCCAGACTAGCCACCTAGAAGAGACTACCACATGGAGTGATGAGCCATCCAAGCTTAGGGCCTCCTACCAAAGCAACTAGTCTACCAAACACTAGTTGTCTATGCAAGGCCACCCTAAATCATCAAGCCACTAACTAAGCACTTTCTCTTATTCCTAAAATCTAACTAGAACAGGCTACATAAAAGTATGTGATCCAACACATACAGCAAGAGGAAGAGGTTTACACTATACATAAAGTTTCAAATATAAAAACTTCCACCAGCTGAATGAAAAAATATTATAGAAAAAAATGTTTCAGTCTTCCAAAGTCTCACAAATGTGCTGTCTGCCATCACAGATGGCACACACACAAAATTAAAAAAATGACAAATTTCCATTTAGTCACAGAAGTATCTTAATTATGATATATTTAAAACAAAGCCTTACACTCAACAGTTCTACTTGTAATGATAAATCCAGAATTCCAGAAATTACTTTTCCTCTTAATTCCAACTGTTTATCTATTTTGCAGGCTTAATGAAAACTGAACAATTTCCCTTTATGAAGCCTAAAATGCAAGAGATATGAACCTAATTAAACCTTTTTCTGGGGCTGGAGAGATGGCTCAGTGGTTAAGAGCACTGTCTGCTCTTCTAGAGGTCCTGAGTTCAATTCCCAGCAACCACATGGTGGCTCCAAACCATCTGTAAAGAGATCTGGCGCCCTCCTCTGGCGTGTGGGTATACCTGGAGGCAGAAAGTTGTATACAGAATAAATAAATCTAAAAAAAAAAAAACAAAAAACAAAAAAAACCTTTTCTACCAGCATTCTTAAGTGGCATCTTCTAGCATCATGGCATCTCTTACCAATACTCACAGAAGATAGTAAAAGTCATCTATCAACATTTTGGTGGAAGTTTATATAGAAATATCACCTCTGTTGGAATGAAAGGTGGAACACTGAGGAAATGACTTAAAGTTCTTTTAAGCACCATTGGATACTTTTCTGAAGTACACACACATGCCATTTAGGAAAAGTTTAATACCTTTAAGAAGCATCTGCCTGTCTTTGAAATAAAGCACAAGCTCTTTAATGAAATTCCACAAAGCCTGTCAATTTTCTGCTTACCTTTTTTCCCAGATCCAACCAAACCTGTGTGAACCCTTTATTCCTCTTTCCCACTTCAACGCTGTCACAACAACTGCTATTTCCTCTGCCTGGCAATCTCTTCTCTCTACCGTATTTATTCATTCTCGAGGCTCCAAGGGCACTCCACTGGTTTCAGTCACAGAAAAATTAATTCTATCTTTTTCTCGCTGTGTGACCTTTTGCAAGTTGGCTCTGTTTCACCATTTTAAGATTCACATGTCTGAGATATGCTCTGCTCAGAGAGCTATCCAGTGCACAACATAAAGAAAATTGTTACCAAATCTCTGTTGCTATTATTTTTATTATTCCATAAGGTAATCGCCATTGTCTTTCCTAGAACTAGTAGTCAGATATTATCTGTTGAAAAAAATAGTTCCTTGGATCCTACCTTAATACCTAACACTTTAAATGTTATTTCCAACAAACAGCATTTTAGGGAGTAAGGGAAGATGAAATAAGAGGTTACAGAGCAAATATTACTTCAACTAAATTCTCACCACCATCCTCAAAGATATGATTTGGCACATGAAGAAACTGAAGCACAGAGAAGTAAACTAGCCAAGATCAAGTGGAAGAGCAGAATATGAGTCCAAGTTTGCCTGATTCCATTGCCTGTAGTGGATATATGACATCAAAGGATTCCCTAACTCATGGACTTTGTCATCCAAGAGCAGAAGGCCTTAAAGATGGATATGTACAGTTAACATACTGTTAAGTGACTCCCAGATATCTATTATCTACTCTTCAGATCCTTAACCAGGCCTCTGTTCCCATCAGCAGAACATTCCTCCTCCTAACTGCTGAAAAGATTCCTCAAATTCTTTCCACTGGACATTAAGCTCTTACTTAAGGGGATGAGTATATTTCTCCCTTTTTAGCTCTAGCAAATAGAAAAAACTATGTTTGCTGAATGAATTAAGTGGAAATTATATTAATGACCACAAAGTTGAGAGTTTTCATAGTACTAAAATTTGACATAGGGAAACACACAACAAGAACAGTGAAAGGGAGAGGATATCTTAAATACTTTTACCATTGGTTATGATTTCTCTATCTAGTATCAGAGATTAAACTTGGTTTACAAACATATGATTGGTAGCTACAGTGAGACTTTACCTCTGGGGCCCTGCCCCACCACCAATGTTCTGCTATACCAATGGTTGCCTCTGAGACACTCTTCACGACCGGATGGCCTTGACAAGTACCACTCTTTCAGTGGTTACCTCAAATGATTTGTAAAAAGAAACAGAAAGAGCAAATGAAGGCAAACAGCTGATAACTAGTGACCTTGGATAAAGGGAATACAGTGAGTTTTTGTACCAATCTTGCAACATTTTTAAAATTATAATATTTTATCAAAAATTAAGTTTTCAAAATCTAATACCAGCAAGTTTCCCAGGAGATTTCAGCACAAAGGGTTCAGTGTATAAGTCAAGCTGATATCACATTTTCTTGTTAGCTAGTCCAAAAACAACATTCTAGCCAACCATAGTAGCCCATACTTTATAATCTCAGCACTCAGGAGGCTGAGGCAGGAGGATCATGAGTAGGAAAGCCAGTCTGGGCTACACAGTAAGCCCTGTCTCAAACTAACAAAAAAGCGACACTAGCTTAGGTTTGTGGGCTTTTTTTTGTTGCCTATCAGCAGGTATCAGAAGAAAATGACCTTTATGGGTAGTGGGGCATAGCCGTGGCTTATGAGTTGGAGTGGAAAAATTATTTGTAGCTTGAAGGGTACTTATGATATCATAGATGCCTTCTATTTGCCAAAGTCCCAGTATAACTAACTCTCCCTTGACAGATCTTTTTTCTTCAGGGCATATCAGAACCACCCAGTACCCACAAGGACATGCCCTCATGTTCAGAAAAACAGCATTTTGAGTTCTTACCTTTCCTTTCCCAAGTCTGGAAAATTAGATCATGTAAGTTTTTTCCAAAGACTAAGCACAGAAGCCCTTTTGATTGTAGGATCCTTGCTTCTGTTGTCTATGGATAGCCCTACAGAAAGGACAAAACAATAACCATGGGGGAGTCACAAAACCAGAAAATTTAAAGCAGTAGTTACTTGGTCTATAATGATCACCTGCTAGCATCTTCTTATTCATTCAGCACTTCTAAACCACCCATCCTAGATTCTCCCCACCCTGAAAACCTTTATAAAGCTGAGAATGCTTTAGCTTTCTCATCCACAGTAACCAGAACAATATAACTTATGAATGAGCCAAATGTCCCCACTTTATAAGGGTATCAAGGTAAGGGGTAGGTAGCTCAGTAGTAGAATGTTTGCTGAGTATGTGCAAGACTCTGGTTTCAATTTTCAACACCAAAAATTATGGTTAGGATAGTGCCAGATGGGTATCACCCAACACCCACCTCTCACCTAAAAAAGTGAGGCAAGCAAAGATCACAGTAAATTATCCCAATGAGAGATTTTCTTAATATAAGTCAGACTATCAATTCTATCTTCTTCAGTTCCTACTTTTTATAAGCTCCATGGAGAGGTAGGTACATTATGTCCCATAATAATATTCAACCTCATTTTAGCCTCTCTCTCTGCATTCCTATCAAAGCTTCTAAGAGCTCTCTAATGTCACATCTACACAAACACCTGATGTCTTCTGATTTCCTCACCAGCACCAAAATATGTGATTAGTTTCATTTAGACCTCAAAGTAAAAAAAGAAGAGATGGCTTTGTATAGCTTAGAGGACAAACATTTGCTATGGTTGGTAGAACACAACAGAGAGGAAAGGCAAGCATTACTAAAGTAGATGGCCATACTAAATCTGACATTCTTGTACTTTAGCTTTCACTAACTCATATGTCTTGGGTGTAATAACTGCCCCAGAATCATCAGTTGTGATGGTCCTGGGACTCTCCCCTATAAGCCAGAAAGTGGTTTACAAGTGCCTTGAAAGCTATTTCCAAGTCATTCCTGGCTCCTTCACTTTGGACAAGAATCATATACCACACTGCCATGGTCTGATTCAATAAAGAGAAAACTAAGTATGGATTCTGGAATTAGAACACTGTAACCTATATTATTCCAGAACTAACTGGCTAAAAAATGTGAGAAACTCTTTTAAGGTGACAGTATTGGAATAAGAGCTCTTCTCTAGTGAACAGAAGTGAAAGAAAGGTGGCAATGATGGTTCCCAATGTTGGGAATTGAATATGAACTGTGCACTCCCCAACTTAATATGATCAGCATTCCTCCAACTTCTGTAATCCTTGAGTGAGAATTTATCCTCTAATAATTCAAGTATTTAAACTCAGAGCTCACCTTAAATCGAAAAGAAAATGATAATTATGGAAGTAGGACACTCTTAATGTTAAACAGAAAAATATGCTCTTTTCCCCACCCCCATTCTCCAACCCCCAGGGCAGACAAGAAGTGGCTGCAGGCAAGGTATTTAAGAAGTACGCTGGGAAAGTGGATTCTGGTTAGCGCGAACTAGGCAACGATGTGGTGTAACCAGTTTTTACCTATTTTTTTTTCATTACTTTTCCGAGTTTAGAGAGTAGCAGCTATCTTTATCTGACTGAATGCAGGGAATGAGGTCTCTTTTCCCTCTAGGTCACTGGAATTACTGTCACTAAGGTTTTGATTTCTTATACCATCTGTGGAGGACAGAGGGTGGGGGTCTCATCCTCAACTTCACAAGGTGGGTGAGGGTCGACACACATCTCAGGACATGTATGTCCTTGTACCTTAGGCCAATGGAGCAGCCAAACAAGTTTCTTGCCAAATCCCTACAAGTGACAAGTCCTAGGGCTGCACAGAGATGAACTGTTAAGCACGTCTTCACAAGGTGGGTGAGGGTCGACACTCACTTGAGATGCCACTCCACTTTCTTCCTGACAAATAATGAACGCAGGGTGCCAGTCTCCACCAAAGCCAAGGCTCTGCTCCGAAACGCAGGGGAAAAGATGGGAAGATTAAACAAACAAACAAACAAACAAACATATAAATGTGGCCCCTTCAGAGGAGGTCATAAAAAACGAATTCGAGAGCTGGAAAAAAGTTAACAACTGTACCATGCCCGGTGGCAGAAAAACCTCCCCGTAATGGGCGATTTTCCCACCTCCAGGACCGCAGGGCGCTAGGCTGCTGCGAACACTCACAGGGTCCTAACAATGACGGCAGAAAGGAAAGTTCGCCGTCCGCCAGCCCGCAGGGCGCCCGCGCTCCCGCTAGCTTGGCATTTGGGCTCTCGGGGTGTCTGGTTGCTCCCTGCACTGCCGGGCTTCCCCGCTCCAGACACTCGGTGTCTTCCCGCTCGGCAAGGCTCAACCAGCCAGGGTGCGCCCTCTCGCTGCTAGGACTGGCCAGCCGCAGGCGGCAGAAAGAGCATGCCCTCTAGCCCCGAGGTCTGGTCCCCACGAGTCCCGAGAGCACAGAACAGGCACGGCAAGGGGCGCCGGGAGGGGAGTCTGAAGGCAACAGCCGCCACAGTTATGGCGCTCAACGCCTTCCGAGGTGGCCCAGAGGCTGCAGCCGAGCTCGCGTGTCCGTGTCCGCGCCCCCCCCGCCCACCCCCCAGCTCGGGTCACCAGGCACAGCGCGCCACCAGCAGAGGGGCGACTGGGCACTTTACCTCAGCCCACACAAGCTCTCCGCTCCACGGCTCTCGGGGGACACCGGAGGCAACCGCTTCGTGGAACTGGAGCTCCCCCCAGCGCGGCGAGGCCGGGACCCCTAGCTCCACGCCGCCCTCGTCCCACTCCTCGAGGCCACCTCTCCCGCCGCCAAAGCTGCACTACGCCCACAACCTCGCTGCCGCTGCCGCGGTGACCCTCGGGAGCGCCTACCTTCGGCGCCGCTTCGGGCTCCGCTCCTTTCCTGCCGCACTCAGGGGCCCCTCAACGTGCCGGGCGAGTCCGGCTAGGGTGGTAACCGCCCCCTAGCCGCCCGCTTTCTTCTCTTCCCTCCCTCGCACCTGCCCCCTAATCTCCTCCTCACCCCGCCCTCCCGCCCGGACCTCCCAGCCGCCACGGGGGCCGCCCCTTAGCGCTGTACTCCCGCCCTCCGCCTGGGCTGCCTGGCCTGTCAGGCCTCAGCCCTGGGCAGGCTGCTGGGCGGCGGCGGCCGAGGAGGCACGGAGCACTATTGTATTCCTGACACTGTGCGCTCCCACGCTCCGCCTCTTCCCTTTCCTTCCTCACCACCGCCACTCCCCCCCCCCCCCACCGCCGGCTGCGCTCGCCCTACCCGACCGACTCCCCGCCGTCTGCTCGGCGCGCGCTCTTCTGGCGGGCTGGGCGCCGTCGCCAACGCCACCGGCTTCGAGGCTCCGCCCACTTTGGGCTCCCGCACGCGCGGGGCGGTGCTTCAGGTGGGTTCTCCTCCCCTCCTGCTGCGCGCGCAGCTGCCCTGAGGAGTCCCAGCCCCGCTAGGCGCTAGAAAGGGCGAGGTGCACTGGCTCTATCACCGGCCAGACTTAGCTTTTCAAGTCCCCGCTTCAACTTCAAGTTCTGCGTTTATAAACTCGGTGACCACCATTGATTTGTGTCATTTCTGCTTGAAATATGGAAAAATAATAAAGGCAAGGAGACAATTGACAACACATTTATCCAGTTGCAAGCAAACATGTTTTATGAAGGTGTCGGCTGCTTTTCTTTTTTTTTAACTTCTGATGTCTATATAGCTAGCCTACAGCTCCCAGTTATTCAAACCTCCATACAGGTGTTGCTGTGGAGGTATTTTGAAATATAATTAAAGGCCGGTTGACTTAAAAGTGGGGATTATTTTCTCGTTTAGTGTAGGTGGCCTGTCAGAATTCTTTAGAAAAATCCTTTAAACCAGGGCTGAGTTTTTCCTGAGACAGAGAGGATTGGACGGAGAGTTTAAAAAGTTCACCCAGGGACGCCTGCTTTAGTCTGTGCCCCTGGGTTCCAGCTTCCTGATCTTATCTTCCTGGTTGCCTGCCCTACAGCTTTTGTTTTATTAACCAGTATTACAATTAAAGAAGACAATAGCTTCTAATGAATAAGTGGGAAATGACATATATTATTAATATATAAAATAAGTGTATATAATTTACTAATGATTCTGACCCTTTGAATTCTGATAAATACAGAAGTTTGCAAGCAACTTACTATTTACCTTTCTAGAATTGAAAATACATCATGATTATGATAAACTCATAGTCATTTTCACTTATATTTCTAAGATAAACAATGTAGATGTTTGTATTTTGTCTACTTTGCATACTGTAGATTTAATTCTTCATTATATGCAAATGTCTGGAAAAATATTCATAATCCTTCACATTTACTGTTATACTTGATTTATTTTAAAATAAAATTCCACAGGGAGATGTAAACATGTTAGAAGGGTCTCATGAAACCCTGTAAGTACCTCTCAGACTTTTCTCCCAATAGTAGTCTAACATAACTATATCAAAAGCAAGATAGGGACACTAGTCCAATCCATAAAGCTCATTCGGATCTCATCAACTTAGCAAGCATCCATTTCTCAATCTGAAAATTTAAGTTCTCCACAATTTTTCCACCTATGTGGATTCCTGTGACCAAGACAACCATCTCAAAGCAAAGAGTCTCCCTGATATGCCTTATCATCAATCACCTCCTTTTCTTAACATAATTCCTGGCAACTCCTAATATGTTCACCACGCCATCCCTCTAAATTTGTTACTTCAAACATATTATATAAATAGAATCATACATTTTGAAATCTGTGGGTTTTTTTCCCTCAGCACAATTTCTTTAACATTCATCACTGTTTTTATTGCTGAGTGATAATCTACAGTGTGGCTATACCACAGTTCATGCATTCAAGGACATTGGGACTGCTTCCAACTTTGCCCGTTAAGAATACAACTGCTGGGCTGGAGAGATGGCTCAGCGGTTAAGAGCATTGCCTGCTCTTCCAGAGGTCCTGAGTTCAATTCCCAGCAACCACATGGTGGCTCACAACCATCTGTAATGAGATCTGGTGCCCTCTTCTGGCCTGCAGACATACACACAGACAGAATATTGTATACATAATAAATAAATAAATATTTCTAAAATTAAAAAAAAAAGAATACAACTGCTGGGCTATGGGGACGGCTCAGTAGGTAAAAGCATAGCCACCAAGCCTGATGACTTTTTTTTTTTACCCCTGGGATCCAAAAGTTGAAAAGAAAGAACGCCCTGAGTCCTGAAAATTATCCTCTGATGTTCACACATAGGACACACACACAAATAGGTGTAATGAAATTTTTCAAAAAAAGAATAGCAGTGCCGTAAACAGTCTTATAGAGATTTTTGTGAGAACAGTTTCATTTTCTTACATCAAGTAACTATAAGTGCAGCTGGGTGGTGGTAGTGCACGCCTTTAATCTCAGCACTGGGGAGGCAGAGGCAGGTGGATCTCTGTGAGTTCGAGACCAGCCTGGTCTACAGAGTGAGTTCCAGGACAGGCTCCAAAGCTACACAGAGAAACCCTGTCTAGAAAAACAAAAACTAACAAATAATAATAATAATAACTGTAAGTGCAGTTGATGGTCAGATGCTAAGTGTGTCCTGAGTGTTGTAAGAAATGGCCACATTTCCAGACCAGTTGGCCCATCTTGTTTTCCTAATTGCCGTACAGAGGAGATCAGTTTCTTCTTTACTCTTCCTTAGTATTTGTTTGAAATAGTCACTATTTCTGTTTTCGCCTTCCTATGCTGATAGCTCATTTTAAATTGGCTTTCCCTAGTGGCCAACAATGTTGAACTCCCTTGCATGTCTTTAGTTGCCATCTCTTTGGTGATGTGTCTGCTTATGCCTTTTGGATATTTTCTAATTTGATTATTACTTACTAGTAAATTTGGAGAGTTATTATATATTCTAAATATAAGTCCTCTGTCAGATATGTATATGATCAGAAAATAATTTTCCCATTCTGCAGCTCATCTTTTCATTTGTTTAACATGAGATTTTGCAAACTCTTTTTGGAGGGCTTCAGCTTATCCAGTTTTGCGGTTACATATAGTGCTTTTGGTGTCATACCTAAGAAATCTTCACCTCATCCCATTTGCCTTCTCTCGTGTTTCCTCTAAGAAGTAGTATAGTTTTATGTTTTAAGTCAGTAGTTCCCTTTGAATTAATTTTTTGTTAAAAACTTGGACCTAAGACAGACATTTTTAATTTTGCCATAAACAGTCGATGACTCGAATAAAATGACTGTCTTTGCTTCATTAAATTGCTTTCGTATCTCTGTCAAAGTCAATTGGGCCATCTGTATGGGGCCATTTCTTGGCTCTATTAATCTATGTGTCTCTCCTGGGAATACTAGTTTAATTGTGATAGAATAAGTAGATAGAGCAATCCCTCCCACTTTATTCTTTTTCAAAATTATTCTTGCTATCCAAGTTATTTTGTCTTTGTTGTTTTTTGTTTGTTTGTGGGTTTTAAGACATGTAGCACTGACTGTCCTGGAACTCCCTTTGTAGACCAGCTGGCCTCAAACTCAATAGAAATCTGCCTGCCTCTGCCTCCCAAGTGCTGGGATTAAAGTCCTGCGGCACCACACTTGGCTGGTAATTTGACTTTTCCTATAAATTCTGTAATGAACTTACTTTGCATTTATAAAAACCTTGATGGAATTGTAAGAGAAATGGCATCAAACCTATATATCCTTTTGGGAAGAACTGACATCTTCCCAACATTCTCTTCTAACCCTTTAGCATGATGATCTCCATCTTTCCATTTAGTTATACTCCTCATTGGCATTTTGTTGATTGTTCACTGTCAGTATAACATAGAAATGCAATTGATGTTTGTGTGTTGATCTTAATATCCTGTGACCTACCGAACTCAATTATTGGTTCTATGAGTCTTTTGGCAGGTACTTTGGAAATTTCTCTATAAAAAATTATGTTATTGGACTTGTAAAATGGCTCAGTGAGTAAGGCACTTGCTAACAATAAATGTAATTGTAAAAAAAAGAAAGAAACTTGTGTTGTTTGGAAATGGAAATTGTTTTATCTCCTTTCCAATCATATGATTTTTATTCCTTTTCCTGCTTGATTGGCAGCATTTGAGTTATATTGACTGAAAGTGATAAGAGTAGACACCTTTGTTGGGATAGATCTTAGGGGGAAACATTTCATCTTTCACCAGTAAATGTGATGCTAGCAAGGTTTGGGGAGATATTCTGTATCAAGGTGAGAAAGTACCCATCTATCTATTCATAGTTTGCTTAATTTTTTAACCATAACTGAGTGCTGAAATTTTTTAAGTATACGATTATATCATTTTTCTTCATTAGCTTAATAGATATGCTAGATTACATTGATTGAATATTGGGCTTTTAATTTTTGTTGTTTGGGCTTTTTATCATTTGTGGTTTTGTTTTTTGTTTTTTTGTTTTTGTTTTTGAGATAGAGTCTCAATGTGTAGCCCAGGGTGACCTCAAACCTGTGATCTTCCTGCCCATGAGTAAGGTATGTCTGGCATTTTTGTCTGATAGTTTTTAAACTATTTTGCATATGTGTATGTGTGGGGGTGTGTACATAGGGAGTGAACATGCACATGTACACATATGTGGACCAGAGATTGATACTGGCTATCTTACTTGATTGTTCTCTACTTTATTGACTGAGGCTTGCTTTGGCGAGGACATCACAGTGTGGGATGTCTTCTCTGTGATGGGCTCACAGCTAGGCCACTGACCTGCCGAGCTCTTTCCATGGGCCCTGGGGATCTGAACTGTGCTTCCCATACTTACACAGTAAGTGCTTTCCCCACAGAGCCATCGTCCTAGCCCTACTATTTTTTTTTATTAATTCAAAGCTTTGCATGGTGATGCATGCCTTTAAGCCTAACACTCAGGAGGCAGAAGCAGGCAGATCCCTGTGAATCAGGTCTATATAGAGTTCTAGGATAATCAAAGCTACATAGGCCACTTCTAATATAGTGTAGAAAATTGATTTTTCTATTCTTTGAGGCTA